TCGCTGAGAGTGGTAAGGATTTTTTTTGGGGGGGGAGCGTGGGCAGGGACAGAGTCTTGTCTTACTCTGTTTCCCAGGCTGGACGGCAGAGGCACAATCTTGGCTCTCTGCAGCCTCTACCTTCTGAGTTCAAGCGATTCTCCTGCCTCAGTCTCCTGAGTAGCTGGGATTACAGGCACACGCCACCACCACTTGGGACCGGCTAATTTTTGTTTTGTTTTGTTTTTGTAGAGACGAGGTTTCACCCTGTTGGTCAGGCTGGTCTCCAACTCCTGACCTCGTGATCCGCCCGCCTCAGCCTTCCAAACTGCTAGGATTACAGGCGTGAGCCACCACACCCAGCCTTTTTTTCTTTTTTTTTAAATAGAAACGGGGTGTTGCAATGTTGCTCAGGCTGGTCTCAAACTCCTGGCCTCACATGACCCTCCCACCTTGGCCTCCAAAAGTAATGAGATTACAGTTACCTCAATTCTTTGATGAGCTAAGAAACCCTCACCAAAATTTCAATACTTTAATAATATATTTTAATGTTTCTTAAGCAATATATTCTGCATGAAGTATTTCATACTCATGAACGTGTTTCTAAAAATCTACAAAAACTGTCATAACTATCATACAACAATAACAATTATTTTCTGGTCAAATAATGTTCTTGAAAATTTCATGGTAATCCTATCATAAATCTTAACTAATTATTTTACAATTAAACCTATTACAATCAAATACAAGTCATCAATCCCACTAAAACTTTCTTCTTTCCTTTTTGAGACAGGGTCTCACTGTGTCACCCAGGAGGGAGTGCAGCGGTCTTATCATGGCTCACTGCACCTCGACCTCCCGGGCTCAAGCCAGACCTCTTACCACCTTAGTCTCCTAAGTAGCTGAGACTACAGGTGCATGCCACTAGGCCAAGTCAATTTTGTTTCTTTTTGTAGAAACAGGGTCTCACTATGTTGCCCAGGCTGGTCTCAAACTTTTGGGCTTAAGGGATCTTCCTGCCTCTGCCTCCCAAAGTATTGGAATTACAGGGATTATCAGCCACTGCACCTGGCCCCTACTAACATTAAAATTTTTTTTTTTTTTTTTTTTGAGACGGAGTTTCACTCCTGTTGCCCAGGCTGGAGTGCAATGGCGTGATCTTGGCTCACTGCAACCTCCGCCTCCCGGGTTCAAGCGGTTCTCCTGCCTCAGCCTCCCAAGTAGCTGGGATTACAGGCGCCTGCCACCATATCTGGCTAATTTTGTATTTTTAGTATAGATGGGATTTCTCCGTGTTGGTCAGGCTGGTCTTGAACTCCCGACCTCGGGTGATCAGCCCAACTCAGCCTCCCAAAGTGCTGGGATTACAGGCGTGAGCCACCGCGCCCGGCCCACACTTTCATACTACAGAAGCTTTCATCCCAAATTCAGACAAAAGGTGTTACATTTGCTAAAGAGAAATAATCTCTTATTAATCTAAAATTAATACCAAAACAACTATATACCAGCTCAACAGGACAACATTATTATTTGGGAATAATTTGGACGACCTTTACTTTGGATATGCAAATTTACAGATATAAGATTAAGGATTTTGAGAATATTTCTTTGTGCAGATCTTACATAAGAACTAAGCCCAGCAGAGTACACTTGCTAAGAATAACTCAAAAAGGTAGGTTATCATCTCCTAATATAATCCTAGCACAGCAGTAACAAAAACACTTATCTGACCTTTCACGTTAGAAAAGAATGTTTCACAATAAATAGTACTGACAAGTATTACACTTTCATAGCCACCCTGTAAACTAGTAGGCAAGAAAGACATCACTAATCCCCATTCAAAAGATAAGGAACCCAGTGATTCCTGTGCATTCTGGGATGGCAGATACACCACATCTGCCAAATTATGAAATACCGTCCTAACTCTTACAGTAATGCGTCTCCTCCAAACTTTAGATATGAAGAGTTGAACATACTTCATATTGCTTTAGCTCGACAAAATCCTGATCCGATCACAAATCAAGCTACCAACAACAGATCTGTCCAGCTACTATGATAGATTGTTGAAAGGGCAATAAATTCAAGATTAAAATTTCAAAAGACATAAGCCAGGATCACGGTCATACGGTCTGAACTGCACAGTCTGGCGTTCTGAACAGAACAGTTGTAACAAGATACGGGTGAGTCTTTAAATTTGTATGTGGGTATTTGGTTTGAAAGAGACTTGCAAAAACTAAAAAAAAAAAAAAAAGTATGTGGGGAAAGCTCTGAGCTTAGGACACTGCTACCAACACCTTGGTCTATTATAGTTTTAAACACAGGACTGGCTCAAGGTAGCCATAAGAAAACCAACACACTAGGTGTTGACACCATCAGAGGATTTGGAATACCAGCAAACTCTATTTTCAGCAACTACCACATCCTTAACTAGAACGTTCCCATTTGTGGAGGAGGGAGCTAGAAGGAGGAAATTTTCACTTTTCCTTTGACTTATGTTCTGCCAAATGCTAACTTCATTTGGAAAAAAATGAAATTCAACCTTCTAGAGACTTATATCTAAGATATCTCTGTGATAAAAGGTTGGACAAAGTTTAGGAAACTTTTCTATGAGTCTAAATGAGAAAATCTAGTAACAAATGGCCTTAAGTAGGGTGACCACAAGGTAAGTTTGTTGCCCAGGACAATCCCAGTTTATGCCTGCTGTTCTAGCTTATGCATTAGTATGTCTTTTCAAGATGTACTCATTTGGATGTTAAATTACGGTGACTTTAATTATTACTTGCTACAATTTTAATAAATTTAAATGAACATCTGAAATTGTTCTCAGGGCCATGATTAGCATTAACATTTAGTCAGAGCACAACCCATGAAGTTCTGCTGGCAACCCAATTCATCAATTTGGATATATCAATACCTAAATATATCAAGCTGACCGGGCGCAGTGGTTCATGCCTGTAATCCCTGCACTTTGGGGAGGCCAAAATGGGAGGATCGCTGGAACCCAGGAGTTACTGGACAACACAGTGGGATCCCGTCTCTACCAAAAAAATATTTTTTTAATTAGCCGGTCATGGTAGTACCAGCTACTTGGTGGGAGGATCACATGAGCTCAGGAGTCCAAGATCAGCCTGGGCAATCCGCTGGGACCAGGCCTCTACCAAAAAAATTTTTTTTTACCAGCCATGGTGGCTCACGTCTGTAATCCCAAAACTTTGGGAGGCTGAGGCACATGAATCTTGAGCTAGGGAGTTCAAGACCAGTCTGGGCAACATGGCAAAATCCTGTCTCTACAAAAACTAGCCACAAGTGGTGGTATACTTCTGTAGTCCCAGCTACTAGGGATGCTGAGGTGCCCAGGGGGTCGAAGCTGCAGTGAGTCATAACTGTGACACTGCATCCCAGCCTGAGGAATACAGTGAGATCTTGTCTCTGGTTTGGCGCGGGGGGGGGGAGAAAAAAAAAGTTATTTTAAATTACCCAGGTACTGTGGTGCACAGCTGTGGGCCCAGCTACGTGGGAGACTGAGATGGGATGAGCGTTTGGGCCTGGGAGGTTGAGGATGCAGTGAATCGTTACTGCACCAATGCAATCCAAGCCTGGCCAACAGAACAAGACCTTGTCTCAAAAGAGTATATGTATCTCTCTCAAAATGTTAACCAACCATTTCAAAAGTAGTAGTGAAAATAGCCCTTTTTCTTGCTGCTCTTTGCTACTCCTTAATGGATTCCATTTGACAGCTATCTAGCCAACTACCTGGAACAACATTTGTGAATCACATGCCAACCTTTGTCCCTCCTAAAAGTTGTATGACTGTATCTGGCCGAGTGCAGTGGCTCATGCCTGTGATCCCAGCACTTTGGGAGGCTGAGGCGGGAGGACTACCTAAGGTCAGGATTTGAAGACCAGCCTGGCCAACGTGGTGAAACTCCGTCTCTACTAAAAATACAAAATTAGCCGGGCATGAAGGCCCAAGTCTGTAGTCTCAGCTACTCGGCAGGACGAGGCAGGAGAATCACTTGGGCCCAGGAGGTGGAGGCTGCAGTGAGCCAAGATCGCACCACTGCACTCCAGCCTGGATGACAACCAAAATCCATCTCAAAAAAAAAAAAAAGTTGTATGACTACATCACTAACCTAGCAACTTAACAGCATTCAGTAAGACAAAGGTAGCCTGAGGTGGTGGCTCACGTCTATAATCCCAGCACTTTGGGAGGCCAAGTTTGACAGACTGCTTGAGTCCAGGAGTTCCAAGAACAGCCTGGGCAACGGCGGCGAAACCCTAGACTTAAAAAAAAAAAAAAAAAAAAAAAAAAAAGGCGCGGTGGCTCAC